ATCTAAAGTAACATTAGAAAAAACAAACCCATACTATAAAGAGAAGACTAAGACAATGGTAAAATTTTGAATTCTAAAAGTCTATATAACACCTAGTGTGGACAAGAATATATTACACTTATACGGTTCGAGCGACAAACAACAACAAAAAAACATACAACCAAGTCATGGCTGCAAAAGTAATACTACGAGAGTCGTCATAAAACATACAAAGAAAAGTGTACTCATAAGTGGGTTAATCCCTATCCAACATCCTTAGATACAAAAGAGCATAGTCTTAATTACAAATTTATAAATATAATTTTTTTATATTAATTTTTTATAAAATTTTTGACGGAATTCATTTTCCTTCAAAAATTTTCAAGGGAATCTGATTTCCATAAAAAAATTCATAAATAAAATTTCTTTTATGATTTATTATTTTTATAAGGTTTTCAACGAAATTCGTTTTTTGTCGAGAATTTTTGACAGAATCCATTTTTCGTTAGTAATTTTCAATGGAATTCATTTTCCATCAAAAACTTCGACAAAATACGTTTTTCGTCGAAAATTTCGTTGTTAATTTTGACAGAATATTTTCCTTCGAAAATTTCCGTAAAAAAGTAAGACTTTTCTAGTAATGACATAAAAAACCACACATATCCTATCACAACATAAAAGACCACACATATCCTAGGGCTTTCAATAATCTTAGCATCATCAAACAGCCCCTAACATAATACATGGTACAACAAGATTCTTGAAGTACATGACTAATTACGACATCAATTATCAAGATTAATCATGCCTTCAAAACACTCAATCACATAGGAAACTATATAATGCATCAACCACAAGTAACTTGATTATGCATTCTTGTATCTATTTCCTTGTTCTCTTGGACCTGGACTAAAATCCCCCCTAAAAGAGTGAGATATAAATCTCAATAAATCGCAGGAACATGACCATACATTCTCTTCACCATTCGAGAATGTGTCATTACTCCCACATTACGTCAAGTGACCAAGCTTGTAAAAAGAAATTAATTTCATTGAAGTTTGCATACAACACATTTCATAAGAGATAAACATGAAAACTACAACTCAGACTAATGTAAAATCCCATAGACCCATTCAAAATGTTACTGTATGTGCATTTAGTTTACCTATATGTGACTTGAGCTCAAATACGATAAGGCATACTCACAATTTGCGGACTATTATACATTCAGTCTCTAGAAGTATAACACAAAGGAAATCACAATATAATATGGATACATGAACATCCATAATTAAACATCTCCAAAGTAGTATTTGCTCTTCCAAATTGTTCAAAAGCTCCCTTGTTTCTGAATGTGACACCTTTTTAGAGTGATAAAATCATATCTTTTAATTTTCCATAAAATCTTTTATGGAATCTTTACTATAATCTTCAATCATATCTTTAATCAAATCTATAAAATCTTCTCTTTTATATCTAAAGGAAACAATTTCCTAAAAAATATTCAAGAGAATCTTCAGTAAGATCTTCAATCAATTATATGATTCAGAAATTCAAAATAAATCTACTTGAGCTCTTCAATTTATCTTTTTATTGAGTTGAAAATTACTACAAAATATAAGAATTTTTATGAGAATATTACTCAGAATAAAATAACACTCTAATTATAATTCTCATAACTTTTAATTATTTTTAAATTAATTTCATACTCATATTAACCCTTAATACATAATAAATTGGAGACTCATCATGACCTCACAAAAAAGAATTAGAAGAAAATTTGGGTAACGAAGAGCCTTTCTCTCCAAAGTATTAAATCCAATTATGCACGCAAGAGTCCCCAAGTCTAGCGAAATTCTGGCATGACATCCTATGAGAATCAACCAAGAACTCAATGAAGGAAGGAAGAAAATGGTGGTCAGTTTCTAATTTGGTGGGGGATTAGAGTCTTAAAGAATAATAAATTTTAGATGAAAGTATGGGTATAGAAAAGGGTAGGAATTGAGAATGTTTAAGGAAGAAGGTGTTTGGAAGGAAAATGAGTGGGTGGTGAATGCAACCAGATAGCAATATAGTTCTTGGAGACAACAATAAGAAGTCGCAAAACATAAAAAAGAGAGGAAAGAAATAAGAGACACACACATTTATCACTGTTCACTTCACCCAACGTGGGTTATGTTCAACAATGTATCACACTCAATTTACAAGAAAAATACTAAGTTTAGAAACTCTAAGCAACAATAGATATTCATGGACCTAGTCCAAATTATTAAAAAATAAAATAAACTCGAGACTCACACCCCGCCAGAGTAGCTCTCCTAGACTCCCGCTCGCTCAGTGTCACTGGGGAGCAAAACCCTTGTTGGCTATTCTTTTCTTTTTTTCATTCATTCCACAAGAATCGTCATCTTAATGCGAAATATGAGTCATATTCAATATTATGGCGGTGGTAAGAGAGATATGGGTTCCTGACTTATACTGAAAAATAATAATGGTATCTTGGAGTTATTCAAAAGTTGATTTTTTTTTTTAAAAAGAAACCAGCTCCACTCTTTTAAATACTAATTAGATTTCTAGGTTATACTTAATTTCACTTAATTAAAAAATTTCGGTTATTATCGTCTAACTCTTTAAGAATTACTTGTAATATTTCTTTTTTAATTTTTTTTAATGGATAAAACATGTCTTTATATGAACTCTAATCACAAATATGTACAAAAAGAAAAAAGAACTCTAATCACAAACAGGAAATGAAGTCGATTCTTGGGGAGGGGGCTGAACCTTTAGCCATCACTGTTCCCCGCACTCCGGATTAGTCCATAGCCGGCTCAAAGAGTCGAAGCTCTTGGGGATATTGGAGGGAGCCAACTCGTCTCAAAGAGATAATTATGGTTGGGTAACTTCAAAAAAAAAAAAAAAACAGGAAATGAAGTCATTCACCACAAATGTTAAATGTTATCAACCACAAATCATAGTAATGGTACTTTTAATACTAAATGTTATCAACCACAAATCATACTAATGGCACTTTTAATACTTAAATAATGTAGTCATTCACCACTTGAAAAAATATGCATGTTTTACCACACTTCCTCTTGGATTATTATACCTTATGAATTATATGTCATTTTAAAACTTTGCTAAGAAAATTTCGCTGGGAAACTTAACGAATTAAAGAAAAAGAATGCATTATTCATAGGTAATTAATTGTGTAAAATATAATCAACTATAAAATGTTTGTAAGCCGAAGCATCCAAATGTCATATATATGCTTCTTGAAAATTAAAGTTGGAAGTAGTGTCTTTGTGAATAGATATATTAGAACATGTTTCTATGTTTTCTTCTCGAGGGTGGAAAGCTTGCCCATAAGCTCTTCTGTTTTATGACCACAGTTAAAAAGGTTAGGGATTAGAACGTCACTGTTCAAATTAGTTTAGTTTTATGTTAAGAAAATATTTTGAAATTGCTATTGAATTATTGTTAAGTAGAGTAATCAAATAAAAAATAATTGTCATATATAGAAATTATTAATATAATGTTTTTAGTCTTTACACATGAAACATATTAGTGTAGAATAGCATTTTTGAAGGGGAAAAAATAATTATCAAAAGAATTTATATTCTCCATAATGCTGTATAATTAGTGTTTGCACAAAAAAATTTCAATATAATTAATTGAATCTTATAAGTCCATCGTGATAGATTTTTAAGCTTTTCTGTATTTCTCTCCACGAAAATAAATTTTCTGGTCCTCTTCTCTCTCCTCCTTCTTCCTCTCTCTCCTCTCCTTTCTCTCTATGAGAGACCAATGGTCCTGGACCACTACATATCTGCTCTCTCCCCACATGGTAATCTAAGGAAACAATGCAAATTTATTTTTTAAATACATGTTATTCCGGTTTAGTGCTTATTTAATAACCTATTTTTATTTTTTTAAATATTATAAAAATATTAAAAGAATTTTGAAAAGTAATTATTTTATTAATATTTTTTCATATCTAGTTTTTAAATCAAATAACTAAATTTAAATTGCCGAACAATTCAAAACGAGATATTGAAGAAGTTCGACAATGTTTTTTTGTTTTTTTTTAACTTCCAAAATTTCCAAAACATTTTCATGATAATTCAGAATATCCATTATAACCACCATAGGGCCTCACATGTCCAAAAAAATGAAAGACTAATAGGTAAAATTCTGCATTTTACAAACAACATAACATATCACAGTTTTGCTAAAATACCATCGGGCATATTCCGCACTATCATTAATCTTGCTTGTGCGAAAATAATGAAGCACGTCACTTACAAGACTTTGAAATATTTGCCTTTATAAAACAAAAAAATGTTAAAGTTGTCGAAGGCTCAACAAGTATGCATTTCCACTACTAGTGAGGTTATAATTGAATGAGCAGATAATATTTTTAGCAAACAATAAAAGAATAAAAAATGTATATTAATTTTGCATACGATACTTTCAAATGTTTTATGGGCTATACATCTCTCATTTCATAGACACAACATAGGTAAATTGCAACTATATTTTTTCTCTCTTTTATCTATGGATCTCACCTGTAATTCTTTTTTTTTTTTTAATTTCCCAACCGATTCATTTTTTGGACTACATCCAATTCAAGTACTTGTCAAACTTATTAAAGGAGATAACTCACAAATATTTTTTTCTATTCTTAAGATTCAAACTCAAGATCTCTAGTTAAAAGCCCAAACTCCTTATCATCTGTGCCAAGGGAATTTAGTTGTCCCACTTATGATTTGTTTATGCAATAGGAAATAATTTTTCTCCTATAGCAGGAGAAACTAATTTCCTTATATGATAGTTTCATGACAATTGTACATAATTTCATGAATAAAGAAATTTCATATCAATTCCTTCATGACTAAGGGCAAACTCTAAGGATGAACCTTGGAAGAACAATAAGTTTGTTCCTTGTGATTAGAAAACGGGTTTAAGTATGAAAAACTTCTTTACAAAAATAAAAAGATAAATCGGCATACATTCGATCTTTACCCCAGCCCATTACCAGATTATAAGGCTAAACTTACATTTGACATTTTTCTTTGTGCCTACCACAGGAATGCTAAACTTAAATTTGACATTTTTTATGAGATGCACCTTTTCCTGTTGGCTAACTGCATACTCTTGTTTGCTTAATGTTGTTGATCCATCTGAATTATCAGCTGAGTCGCTAAACAAATGCATCAATAGTTTCTTTCAGGCCAATATTAGTATAGTATTTTTACCGTCCCCAAAATATAATCCCAAAACATTGAACAAACGAAGTTAACATCAAAATCAGCTTGCTCCAAATTGTATACAGGGAACAAAATGTCGCAGAAACCCTCGTTATGAATGCATATGAGAGCGAAATAAGAGTGGGTAAGTGCAACAAAATCCACTGCTCCAACACTGCATTATAAAAAAAATAAGAAAACCTTTAGATGTTTGCAGTAAGAACTGATATCAAGATGGAACATCTAAGACAAGTCCGGTCGAAACCCAGCATCATCTACGAGAATCCATAACAATTCAATTAGATGTTCTTTTTTTCTTTTCTTTTTTCCGAGGCCAATGGAAAAAGTACATAGAACGACATTTGTAATTATGCTATTACAGGCACATTCACCTATGCACCTCAAATCTATTAAATATATCATTCCAAAAAAAATAAGATTTAGAAATAACGAAAGTAGTGAAACTCAACGCAGACTTACCACAGAAAGCAATGGTCCCTGCTTAAACTTCCCGTGAAATGAAAATGAGATTGGCTTTGGATTGTCTCCAGGCCCTCTTATAAATCCACTATAACATTTAATGGAAAAACAAATCATTGCAAATTATTAATCTCTTCAAAAATATATGGCAAAGCATAGAATATTCAAGACAAATGAATTCAACATTAAAATAATTAAAAAACATGACATAAAACAACAGACATACCACTAATTAAACCATTTTTAACCATGAACTCACATTAATGATGTAGATATTAGAGGAGTCCTCCTCGTATCATATATGGCGATCAGACCCCTGTATACATCATCTCCACCTTTAAAAGACACAGCCAACCGCTCCCCTGAATTATCCCATGCTATCTTTTCGATTCCCTGACTGAATCAAATGACCACATAATTTCTAACAAAACAAACTTATGATAACCATATCACGCAGATCCAAAGACTTAAATTCTATTATTTGAAAAGATAACACCGATGTTTGATGGGGGTTTTCTGCTACAATCTACATTGCATTTTAGACATACGATAACTCAAATACTCAGTCCTCTCCATGCGACCAGGAAAGGAAGATGAAGAATCTAGAAAAAAACCTAACGCAAAAGAAAGCTGAGGTGTGTTCCTTCAGGTTGAGGGTAAAAAAGAGAGGAGGGGGGAGAAATTAATTCCACAAGCAAGTTTAATTTGTGGAAGAAAATTTTCACCCAATCATATTACAGTGGTACAGAGCATATGTAAATTATAGTCCATCATAGAAGAACATTGACGAATTCCTCTGTTTGGTTTAAAGAAATTTTCAGTTTTTATTTTCTAAAAAACATGTTTGATAGATATAGTATTTAATTCATTATAACTAGAAAGTTGCCACCGCATTTTCAACTAGCCATTTCCCGTTTCTAAAACTTTGAGAAGGAAATGATAATGTTAAGAGATATAATAGTTAAATGTAAAAGAATACGTTGTGTATTGATCTGTGTCAAGGAGTTACAATATATAGAGACCCTAATGGGCTTAAGTGTAAGGCCCAAACCTAATCCAAACCTAATCCTAATACAGTCAGAATACAGTCAGACTATTTACGGATAAGACAGAATCCAATCATATCTAATCAAATCTAATCATATCATATCTAATATTCTAACACTCCCCCTCAAGCTGGTGCGTATATATTATGAGCACCAAGCTTGTTACAAATGTATTCAACCCGAGAACCTCTAAGAGCTTTAGTGAAAACATCTGCTAGTTGATTAGACGAGTTGACAAAAGCTGTCTTGATTTCTCCTGACTAAATCTTTTCCCGAATGAAGTGACAATCAATCTCTATATGTTTGGTCCTCTCATGAAAAACAGGATTAGAGGATATATGTAGCGCAGCTTGATTATCACAGATGAGTGTCATGGGTTGTTTCTGTTCACAAAGATGAAGCTCCTGAATCAACTGCTTTAACCAGATCAACTCACAGGTAGTATTTGTCATTGCACGATACTCAGCTTCTGCACTAGATCGGGAAACAACAGGTTGTTTCTTGCTTTTCCATGAGATTAAGTTTCCTCCGAAGAAGACACAATAACCACAAGCAGAGCGTCTGTCCGAGGGTGATCCTGCCCAATCGGCATCTGAGTAACCACAAATTTCTGTATTTCCCTGATCCGAATACAACAAACCTTTTCCTGGTGCTCCTTTGATGTATCGGAGGATCCTCACAGCAGCATCCCAATGTGAATCACAAGGGGAATCAAGGAACTGACTGGCCGTACTGACAGCGAAAGAAATATCTGGCCTAGTCACAGTAAGATAATTGAGCTTCCCAATTAGCCTCTGATAACGTCCAGGATCAGATAACGGCTCCCCCTGTCCGGGTAATAACTTGACATTAGGATCCATAGGTGTATCAACTGGTTTACTCCCCAACATACCAGTTTCTTCTAGGATATCCAAGGCATATTTCCTTTGACAGATAGAAATGCCCTGTCTTGATTGCGCCACCTCAATTCCCAAGAAGTAACGCAGCTTCCCAAGGTCCTTTGTTTGAAATGTACTAAACAAATGCTGTTTTAACTGACGAATTCCGTCTTGATCACTTCCGGTGAGAATGATGTCGTCAACATAGACTAACAAATAGATACACTTATCAGGAGATGTAATCCTATAAAACACAGAATGGTCAACTTTACTGCGGATTAAGCCAAACGCCTGAACAGCAGAACTGAAACGACTGAACCATGCTCGAGGAGACTGCTTGAGACCATATAAGGATTTCCGAAGACGACACACCTTTCCAGACTCCCCCTGAGCAACAAAACCAGGTGGTTGCTCCATGTAAACTTCTTGTAAATCACCATGAAGAAAGGCATTTTTTATGTCAAGTTGAAGGAGTGGCCAGTGACGAACAGCAGCAAGGGCAAGAAAGAGGCGGACTGACGCCATCTTAGCGACCGGAGAAAATGTATCGCTATAATCAAGGCCAAAGATTTGAGTAAAACCCTTGGCAACTAAACGTGCCTTGAGACGATCAATATGGCCATCAGGTCCAACTTTCACAGTAAAAACCCAGCGACAACCAACTATAGACTTCTCTGGAGGAGCAGAAACAAGGTCCCAAGTGCCATTGGAATGAAGTGCAGTCATCTCATCAAGCATTGCTTGGCGCCACCCTGGATGGGAAAGTGCTTCACCTGTGGTCTTAGGAATAGAAATAGAAGAAAGACTAGAAACAAAGGTGAAATGAGGTGAAGAAAGACGGTCATAACTCAAAAAGGTATAAAGAGGATAAGGGTTACGAGTAGTACGTGTACCTTTTCTTTGAGCAATGGGAAGAGTCTCTGATGAAGGATCCGGAGGGGAAGAAGCAACAGCAGTGGGCGATGAGTCAGCAAGAGTAGAGTCGACAGGAGGCACAGTTTTGCGACGCTGATAGGTGAGAAGTGGACGGTCCTCAGGTATAGAAGCAATAGGTTGCTCATCTGGAATAGAAGCACCTGCAGCTGGCAAAGACAAGTCAAGAAAAGGGACAGGAAGTACATGATCAACCTGTGACATCTGAGATGGGATAGAATTAAAGGGTTGTTGATCAAGAAAAGTGACATCAGCGGAAACTAAGTAACGCTTAAGGTCGGGAGAATAACAACGATAACCCTTTTGAAGACGAGAATAACCAAGAAAGATACACTGAAAGGCTTTGGATGTTAACTTATCCTTACCAGGAGTGAGATCATGAGCAAAACAAGTACAACCAAAGACATGTGGAGTTAGAGGATAAAGAGGAACATCTGGAAGCAATAGATTATGAGGAATGTCATTGTGGAGCACAGATGAAGGCATGCGATTGATGAGAAAACAAGAGATGAGTACAGCATCTGCCCAGAAGTGAAGAGGAACCTGCATATGAATAAGAAGGGTACGGGCAGTTTCAATGAGATGTCTGTTTTTACGTTCAGCCACCCCATTTTGTTGTGGAGTGTGAGGACAAGTAGTTTGATGTAAAGTACCTTGTGTGGCCAAGAAATTAGAAAAATCAATAGAAACATATTCCTTAGCATTATCATTACGTAGAATACGAATAGAAACACCAAATTGAGTATGGATCTCAGTAGAAAACTTTTTATAAATGGAAAATAACTCAAAACGATTTTTCATTAAATAGGTCCAAGTGCAACGGGAAAAATCATCAATAAAGGTAACGAAATACCGAAAACCTAAGACAGACAAGGTACGACTTGGACCCCAGATATCTGAATGAACAAAAGAGAAAGGGGCATCAACTCGTTTATTGACTCGACTGGCAAAAGAGGAGCGTGTATGCTTCCCTTGTTGACATGACACACAATCTAAAGACTGAAGACCGGACAAAAGAGGAACCATTTTCTGCAACTTTGAAAGACTTGGATGACCAAGGCGACTGTGGATAAGTTGTGGAGATTCTGTGAGAGAGCATGCTACTGAAGGACGAGGCACATCCAGATAATAAAGCCCCCGTGACTCACGACCCACTCCAATCATTTTCCCCGTACCCGGATCCTGCACAGAAACAGAATGGTTAGAGAAAGTAATGGTGCAAGTGAGGGAGTGAATCAACTTACTAATAGAAATTAAGTTATAAGGGATGCCAGGAATGTAATAGACAGATGTCAGGGCCAAGGTAGAGGTCGGACGAGCTTGTCCAATCCCACAAACTGGGGCTTTGGTTCCATCCGCAAGGGTAAAAGACGGTAAATGATCAGAATAAGTAAGAGATGTAAAGAGTTCCTTATTACCACAGAGATGATCGGTAGCACCGGAGTCAAATATCCAAGTGCCAAGTGATGTAGAATGAGAAACACAAGCAACGGGATTACCAGTATAAGGCTGAGACTGAGGAGAAGCCTTCCTGAGAGGGGTTTGGAGTGCAGCACAGTCCGAACCTGAACCAAATGATGCTTTGTCTGACTGAGCTATATTTGCAACAATAGAAGGAGAGTTAACCTCCGAGAGATCAGGAGATGCTGCTGCCATTTAAAGATAAAATATAAAAGCCGTAAACGAAGGCAAACGATATCCAATCAAGAAGAACCACGCGTCTAAGGTCAGACCCACAGAGAAACAATCACAGATCCAGAAAGGGGAGGAGAAGGCAAGCTTCTCTGTCCAAGACCGGCCGGAAAAAGCCGCCGGAATAGTGCTCACGCGCCGGCAGAAGGTGGCGCGTGAAGCCCACGCGCAGTGAAGACAGGTGGCGCGTGACGGCGCGTGGGAGATGCGTTGCTGACCGGACCACCACAGACCTGGTCGCCGGGAAGAAAGGGTCCTGATCGCGTGAAGTTTGGTCGGAAAAGTCGCCGGAAAAAGTCTCTGGTTGCCTGAACAGTGATTCTGACGGCGGGCGGTGGTTCCGGTGGCCGTCGGAGGTGCTGACGCGTTTGGAAAAATCACTCAGAGGCTGTTTACAACCCTAGAAGGCTTGCCGGAAGGACGCACGGCAAGAAAGAGGACTCCTAAGCAGTGGGCTTAGGTTTTTAAAGCAAAAAAAACAAGGTTTCTGAGCGGAAGCGAGGGTTCCTAGAACGAAAGAGCTCTGATACCAAGTTAAATGTAAAAGAATACGTTGTGTATTGATCGGTGTCAAGGAGTTACAATATATAGAGACCCTAATGGGCTTAAGTGTAAGGCCCAAACCTAATCCAAACCTAATCCTAATACAGTCAGACTATTTACGGATAAGACAGAATCCAATCATATCTAATCAAATCTAATCATATCATATCTAATATTCTAACAATAATAATAATACCAGAAAAAAAAAATATAATAAAACCATTTGTGTGCTTTAAACTAATAGTTTAAGCTTTTGGGACAGTTGGTTCATGACATGATATCATAATCTATTACCAAGTGGTATAAAGTTCAATCCTTGCCGTACCATTCGTCTAATAAAAAAATGATTAAATGTCAGCACAAGGTAAAAAAAATGGGCTTGTAAACAATACATGCTTTAAAACCCAAATGGTTCTCACATGAGTGGGCATGTTAAGAGATATAACAAAACTATTTATGTATTTTCACTTAACAGCTTAAGCTTTTAGATAATTTGTTCATGACAAATGGAAAAAATTAATTGTTTTCAGACTTGGCCACATTTTAAAAAAATAACCAAAACCCAGCCAAACACGTTTTCAATCCTGTTTTCTGTTTTTAATAAAAATGAAAACAGGCAACACTAACCAAACACCCTGTGTTAACTTTCACTTTGCCGGAGAAATCCAAAAATCAGTTCCAATTATTTATAAAATCTGTGATATGGTACAAAATCAAAAACCAAAAAGATCAGCAACCCCACTTATTTCAAGCATCAGGAGGAGAAAGGACTCAGAAAGCTGGTGATGAAAAATGCAACTATCAGTTACTACACTGTCTTTTATTCCAGCCCGAAGGATTGGTCCAGAAGGAATTTGACATAATGATAAGACTTTAGGACCAAATCGCAACCATTCAAAAAATTATTGAACATAAAAAACAAAAAATCATCTCTACCTGCCTGTCAATGATATTATCTCCGGCAAATCAACAGGTAACAAATGTGCATCTGAAAAAGTCAACAATGACTAATTATCAAAATATCACATTATTATCAGAAAAAATATCATCAAAAAATAATTTAAAAAATTGCAAATATGAATGCTACAATCACAAATATTTATATTAAAAATGAATTGAACAAGTATCAATTGAGGCTAGAACTAGGACTTCAAACACTGACTCACAAGAATAACCATATCAAAAGTTCATTGCAAGCTTCTGTTCAGCTAGCAGAACAAGATTATGTGCAAATTCCTTCCTGGGCTCTTTTTAGTGGTGAACCAATTAAAACTTCCCTCTTTCATTAAGGGTAACACTTGACTATGATAATTTTCACTGTGTTTCACTCTTCTAATACAAGTACACCAAAAGTTATACACATTTTAATTATAATTCTACGTCTCAAATATCAACCATAAAATTCAATCAACATACTATATAGTACCTTTTGGGCAATATATGTGTGTAACAAAGTTTTCTTATTTAAGTATGCATTACTTTTAGTGCACCCAAAGTAGAGGGTGTGGTATATGTGTTTTTTCTTAGTCATAGTTTTTCGCAAGGAGGTTTTGGGTTAGTGTTGTGTACTACAATCATCCACTTTATTAGTGAAATACATTTTACATTGTTCCATCTCTATCTCTTTTTTCCCTTTTCCATCTAATTCACAAATATTTCATTATGGTAAAAGAGTGGTACAATCTGTTGTGGTCTTTGTTGCCAGCCTTTCCATAGCCATTGTTTACTATAAACAGACATGTTAGGTCGGTGTTTTGTGTCATTGTTATCCAGACATTTTTAATAAGACATTCTACATCAATCCCCCTGTATCTCTCTTTTCCCTTTTCCCTTTTCCATCTGATTCGTATATTTCAATACCATATATTTTCATTTTATCACTATTAACATAAAAAGATACAAGAACAATAAACAAATCAACCTAAGATCTTTGAAAGAAAAGGCCAGATACCTAATGAGGGAGGCTTTGATGCAAAGTGAACAGAACCCAAAGTTGAAGATTCCGAAAATGCAAGCAGTATCATACGCCCATCTGGATCCCATGTTGCACCCTGATCAAACATCATTGAAAGTAGAAACCAATAAAGTAATACCATTATGTGATAGTCATCAGACAAGAAAATTTACAAACATAGCCAATCACTTCAGATTCTGACAATAATGTTTTTAATAAAATGCGAAGCTCCTCTATCATTGTATCATTTTTTTATAGAACCTTTATCATTGTTTCTTATTACACTCCAGAGATAAATGATAATATGAATACTAATTAACTCCCAGTGTCATCTTAAGATATATATATATATATATATATATATATATATATATATATATATATATTTAATGTTTGTCCTTTAACAACAAATCCTAAGCATTTCCACTGTAACTTCTGAGAAAAAGTTTATCTTCCTCTTATTCGGAATTCTGAAACTAACAGGGAATTATACTTCCTAATTTTTATGAACTTTTTCATAGAGAACCATAAATTCTAGTAAATTCAACACAGGAAAATCATCACTTAATGTTGACTTTTGAAGAAAAAGTTTCTTCCCACTTTATTCCAACCAATGTATATAACATTTGGGTTCAAAAAATGTTTTTGTTTACGTTAAAATGTAACCTCTAAATCCATTAAGAGGTTATTTTCACATTTAGCATGATTTAGAAGGATGTCAGACCGCAAAAACTGAGGCCTTCAGAAGAGACAGTATATTAGTGTTTATAGTATGTACTAGGTCTAATACACAGCTTTTATTCTGCATGATAGGACTAATGGCTATGAAACACCGACACTTCAAAAATTCTGACGTATCGTGTCCGACACTCTCCGACACTTCCCGACACTCCAATACTCGTTGCAAAGACTCAAAAAAAGTTCAAAGGTTACGTTGCATTGCATTTTGAGTTCCAACTATTAGATTCGTTAGATTACGATTACGATTTTATTGAGTTTAATATAAATATTTGGGATATCTTATGTTTCTTTGCAAAATTGATGGGTATTATAAGTTTAGCTTTATTTTTTTGTTAAATTATTGAATACTAAATATAATATACACTACATACATTAAAAATATTATATAATATCAAAACCAAGGTTGTTAGTATCGCACGATACGCGATACGTATCGTGCGATACGATACGATACACCAGAAAAACGATCCCAATCGCATCCCTGAATCGTTTATGGTCAGAATCGGAACAAAGAATCGTTTAAATCGTACGATCCAGTTGCGAATCGTGAATCGCTACAAATTTGCGATTCAGGTTTAAAAAAAAAAAAAACCAACGGTCGCTGAAGTTGAAAAGATTAAAAACGTAATCTGAAGAGTTGTTTTGCTTCAGAAAAATTTGGGATTTAAAATCCCATTTGAATCTCATATAATAACAAACAACAAAACTGAGAAAGAACAAAAAGGAAAACAAAACAAAAAACAGAGAGGATGAGAGTTTTTATATAGAAGATCAAGAAGAGGCTTTGAAGGTTCTTGAAGGTGGGAGACTCCTCGTTGCAGAGAGTTGAAATCGGAGAAGAAGCGCAGTTGGAGACTCCTCGTTGCAGAGCCAGAGAGTTGAAGGCCGAAGGCTGAAAACGGAGAGTAGAGTACGATATTCTTTTAAAACTCTTTGGTCTGCACTATTTCAGCTTCTCATCTATAAGAATTTCAGCTTTTCACTATTTCAGCTTTTAAAACTCTTCGGTCTTTCAAATATATTAAAATATTACAAAATATCTCTGGGCAGCTGTCGTGTTGTGGCTGTGGGTATGGTAATGAGTCATGTAAATCAGTAAATGTGTAATACATGTCTCTCAGAAGAAGCTTTTTAGAATATTAAAAATCTAAGCTTTAGTGGTGTCTTGTCAACTTTGGGTAATGGGTATATTGGTATTTGGGTTTTTTTTAATTTGGATTTATATTATATTATACATTTTTTAGTTATTTTTTTTAGTTATTTTTTAGTTATTTTTAATTTGTTTCTGAATCTTACGATTCGATACGATTCACGATTCACGATACTAAAAAACAGCCGAACGATTCACGATACGAATTGCGATTCAACAACCTTGATCAAAATGTGTCCTAACGTGTCGAAATTTAACATTTTTTAGAATTAACGTGTCGGAGTATCGTGTCGTGTTGTACCTCGTATCCCGTGTCGCTGTCGGTGCAACATAGACTAATGGAGCATGAATGCCCAATATAAGACCGTCAAAATGTCAATTTCAAGCATAACATAGTTAAGGAGCTATTCTGATGGTTAATTATAAAAGTTTGGTTACAACACAGGCTAAAATAATGTGGCAGTGTGCATGTTATATAGTCCTTTGGCGTGTTCGGATCGAGCAGAATGTTCACATCTTTATGGGTATATCTATGGCCCTTAACTTTTTTATGGGATAGAATCATGTTTATGGCTTCATTTAGGTGTTCTGCTGATGGTTGCTTCAAGGGAGTTAGTATATTTCTAATATTTAGAGTGAGTTGTCAGCCTTTTGCCATTCTTATTCTTTTCTTGTTCCTTGCTTTATATAGGTTTTCCTGATTCTGAGAATTTCTTATCTACCCCCTGGAAATGGATTACTTGTTTTAAAAAATGTTAGGTTATAGATCAAGAAGGTTGAGGTAATAACTAATAAGATGAGAAGACTTATTTGAAAATTCATCCCAGATATTTTTTATGCCATGTTTTCTCTTAAAGTGGGTGATGGTTCTAGTATCAGGTTGTAGAAGGTTCTTTGGGTGGGAGACTTCAAGCTCTATGAAGTTTTACACACCTCTATCACCTCTCTTTTGCAGCATCACTAGGTAATTCAGGAATCCGATGCTTCTAGGCACTTACTTTTTATGAGAGTAAGTTCTGAATAAGAATCATTTCCGCTTTAGTTAAATCTATCTACTTGGATCCTGATAGGAGGGTTTGGACTTTTTATTCCTCTAATGCAAACAACGGCAACTACATTTTAACAAGGCAAGGTTTATGGAAGTTTTCATAAAACATGCTTTTAAAAGACAAATTTTAGTTTTTGATTAAACTGCTATTGTTTACTTAGCTTCTGTGCTGTTGAGCTCAGGAGTTTATTTGAAGAATTTCTTTGCTAGATATGTGGGAGAATTGAATGGTTTTATTAATTCATGATCTCCTATATCACTAGTACTCCATCTAAGGAGGACATTTCATCCTTGATCCTCCTCCCATGGAAAGTCTTTTTTCTCAGAAATAAATTAATCTTCTTTTATCACCAAAACAAAATTGCCCATCACCCTAAGAAAATAACAACGATTTCTCAAAATGCTTTGACATTTCATAAGCACCAACTGAAGAATTTTAGCATTGCATACAATTAAAGATGATTCTTTTCACAGTATCAACTATCAACACATTGTTGAACATACCAACACAGAAGCGAAGGTTAATAGCTAAATGTCGTCTTACTCTAAATAAGGCATCATAGAGCACCAAAACATGAAATGTACACCTCATATACCTTGACAAAACCGCTGGTGGATGACCATTGTTCTGATGTCCATGTGTTTGTCTCCCAAAGATAAAATGTTCCATCACTATAAGAAAACATAATAATGAGGTTAAGAATCATTAACAGTTCATGTTCAATAAATATTTCAAAATTCAAATAAAACATATTTAGCATGTGGCACTACAATTTTGAAGCAAAGAAGTAATCTCCAGTAGGTGACCACTTCAGCATTGATATGCCTCCCAATCCCCGTCGGATGGGAGTCCCCACACCTACAGATAATATGGAAAATAACCAGAAATTTAGAAAGGAGAGACAAAATTTCATACATTTTTTATTGTAATGGCAATCTAAATATAGACACAGTCTCCAGACTCCCATGGTTTAGACTGTCAATGCTAATGATTCAGAATCACCATGCTTATCAACCTAGCATAGATTGGGGAACACAACTTTGATCAGTTCTTTTTCTGTACAAAAGTTTAGTGGGAAATGAAGTTGCCCCATTCCAAGGTCAGGCACACCATAAGCCTCAACGAGGGCTTACATTGACCTACTACTGAATGACGAGGCACCAATGAAACATCTAAACAAACTTGCACAGTTGAAATCCCAAACTTGAGTCAAAAAAGTCCTTTGGGCTTGAACTTGTAAGTGAGAGCCCAATCAATGATTTTTTATATTTCTTTAACACACTCCCTCATACACACAAGAGCCTTTTGGGCTTGAAGCATGGATATTGCAAATATCTATTTTTATTTTGGTTCTACCTTGTACTGACTTACTTCCACTAGAAAGTGAAGAGCGGTGGTGAGGATCGAATTCATAACCAATTAGTCATATCAGCTTTGATACCATGTAAAGCTTCAATTCAACCCAAAAGTTTAAGCTTGTAAGTGAAGGCTCAATCAATGGTTTTCTATATTTCTCTAACAAAAGGAAAGTGGCTCTGGTAGAAAAGGTAACTATTCCTACAACCTAATCAAATGCAAGTGTTAAAGGGTATACTTTTCCATACTGATTTGCTGGAGCAGGCTTAGTTTATGATCCAGCAAGTCCTATCTTCAGTATAATAATGTTCTGTTTAGGTCACCGGTTATGGTTGTAAACATATGCAATTCAGGGTATGTTTGAGTTTGACATCTCCTTAAAATTGAGGGCGAACGATTCAGGTAGATAACAAAAATGAAAAATTCAGAACGAATTTTATGCTTATTCAGCATATTAGTAACATCACCATGCAGAAAGGATGCTTCAAAGTAAAATGTCAACAACTTGAGGAGGCAAATATTTTCGTCATACCTTGAGCAACATCCCACACAGTGAATGAGGAGCTCTCATATGAAGCAGAAGCTAAGTATGTGATAATAGGTTAAGAAAAGAAAGGTTAAGTATAGTAATTTAAAATTGAAGAAAAGAGGGCAAATATGCTTTTGAATTGCCATAAATAAAATACTGAAGTTCCTACTAAGTCATACAGTTTTATAGACTGCCAAAACAATTGAAACTTATATCAAAAGGTAATAAAGGTCGTCAAACTCAAAGTTCAAGTAAAATTGTGAAGAAGGGTAAACATGTCTAATAAAATCACTGACTTTACCTACTTTAGTAAATAGCTAATTAAGAGTCCATTTATTTATTTATATTCATAACAAAAAATTACTACAAAATTTAAAGAAAACTAATATCATATTCATAGCAAGCACTGCGAGCCATAAATTTATTGTTTTATAATAGAAACAAATGTTTGGAGACGGGGGTGGGGGAATTATAGTATGGTTGATTCAGATGAGAAGCCAATAATCATTAGACTGTCATCCTCATACATAAGTAACCAAAGCACAACATCAAAAGTGCAAAATTTGTGCAAAATTTTCAAATTGCCCATCACTGTCACCATTTTACTGAGTTCACCCGAGTTTATGCATTAAACTCACAAGTTTGACTACCATAGCTAAAACTTTCTGTATGCTTACTGCGGAAAAAATTTTATAATCATATAGCAGCATCTCTTGCAAAAATATAGAATGAAAACGGCAATATTCACATTTGGAAAAACATGTAGCAAAACCAAAAATAAAAAAACATTTTGACATTTATGAGGATATCTTCCATCTGGACTCCAAGTGAGAGCGCTAACATGCTCATCATTTTGACTTCGAAGAAAATCAACCAGGATATACCGAATTCCTGAGCCTCTAGATAAACTTCCTACAAAGTAAGCAGCACCAGATCTAACTGATGCTGCATTTCCAGGATAAGAAGCAGCCCATATGCAAATTCCACTCCTGCAACAGTAAACCCAAGTCCAGTAAATAAGAAAGCACATTATCCAAGTAATTAACATTGTATACACCATAACAACCATGCACAAAGACAAAACCTCACTTGCAACCCACAGCAAGCATCCTCCCACCATTGGGCCTCCACTCTAGCACTCTAACATCCCTCTGTGACTCGTTGGTCAAAATAATCGCATCCTTCCCCTCTATTCACAATGTCAAGTACAGGCACTCATTAAACGCGAACCTCTATCAAAACAAACACCATAACAACAACAACAACAACTAGAACAAGTTGCTAATAACATGTCTCATGATCATAACAAGTTAGATACCCAAGGCTTCATAATCACGAACTAAAACTTGTCCTGGCCCAGATATAAAAGCAATTATATGCTTATTAAGGTGCCAGCTTACACCTTGAAGATCCACCTCCGGCAACAAATGCACCTACACATAGCATAACATTTACATAACAAAAACACTCTAAATTAAAACATAAATCATTAAATCATAACGGATAAGAATACGCTCTTAATTCAATTAGGCATACATCGTTAGGGTAAAAGAGACGTCTAAGACACTCGTTTACAATCCCTTGCAAGAGTGCCACCGGACCTTTCCTCTGAACGCTTTCTCCTGCTGTTGTTGCTGGTGTCGTCGTCGCCGTCACTCCTTCCTGTTCGGAAGCATCGTTCTCGAGAGGCGGCGCCGGCTGAAACGGCACAGGACTGAACACCAATCCCTAATATACCAAAAATATTAAGAAAATTTCGGAAGCAGCATCAGCAACCTCAATCGTGAAAAATTGGAAGATAAGTTTAGATGCGATTGCTTACGAGAAGCTTTCCGTAGGCGCTGTTGGCTCGATCGTCGGAGAGGACGTCGACGGTAACTGCAGATTTGCAGAGAGAAATTCAGAGTTAGAGAAACGAATCGGCATCAATAGAGAGAGAGAGAGGAGTTACTTAGTTCACGATTGACTTCACAGAGTGTGACTGAACCAGGAGGAGGGAACGTAGCCATTGTTGCAGTTAGAGCTAAGAGTAGGGTTTTAGCTTTGGATTCACCGTAACATTATATGCTTTTGCTTCCTTATTCTTTTTCCCGCTTTTTCTTCAATTCCATTTATTTTCTCTCTCATTTTTCTCTTTTTTATTCACTATTTATATTATATGAATATTTCAAAATTTAAACAAAATACAAAATATTATCAAAAAAAAATATTTAAAATTATAATAAAGTTAATGGTTCTTCTCAGACATCGATTTCAACTTTCTTCTTCTTCTTCTTCTTCTTCTCTGAATCAATGACATGAGCCTGTTTTCAAGCTTCAGATACAGGATTTTCCAATCAACGATCTTACCCAAGAACCCCTTTGTTTTCTTCAACCAAAAAAGATGGAGGAAACCGATTGTATCTGCTCAAACCCGTTTGGAGGACAGGGTAAGGGACACCCACCTCGACAAATTCATGACCCACCTTAAAAAGCTCAAACTTGTACTCAGAATTCACCATCTTATGTTGAATCGAAAGCGTGGCGCTTTTGTTTCCCTTCAGCTGATGTCACGTTGGAGAAACATCGTTGGACTCAATGTAACCGTTGGCTCCTTTCTCCACGAGTACCCACATGTTTTTGAGGTGTTTGTGCAGCCGTTGAGGAGGAACTTGTGTTGTAGAATCACAAGGAGGATGAAAGAGATGATCTTGTTGGAAGAGGTTGCTGTGAGACAGCAGGAGCTGGAGGCTGTGAAGAGGGTGAAAAAGTTGCTTATGATGGCAGTGAATGGTACCCTTCATATACATGCATTGAGGTTGATGAGAAGAGAATTGGGTCTCCCTGAGGATTTCAGAGACTCCATTCTTGGGAAGTACAGTGGTGACTTCAGGTTGGTTGATTTGGAGATTGTGGCATTGGTTGATAGGGATGATGATAATGAATTAGGAATGGCTCAAGTTGAGAAATGGAGGGAGAGAGAGTATACAGAGAAGTGGTTGAGTGAATTTGAGACCAAGTTTGCATTTCCTATCAATTTCCCAACTGGGTTTAAGATTGAGAGAGGCTTTAGAGACAAGTTGAAGAGTTGGCAAAGGCTTCCTTATACAAAGCCTTATGAGAGGAAAGAGGTCATTCGAGTTCGAACTTGTGGAGGGATCGAGCGCTATGAGAAGAGGGCTGTTGCTGTTCTTCATGAGCTGTTGAGCTTGACAGTGGAAAAAATGGTTGAGGTTGATCAATTGGCTCATTTTCGAAGGGACTTTGCTATTGAAGTTAATGTGCGTGAATTGTTGCTAAGCCACCCAGGAATATTTTACATATCTACTAAGGGAGAATCTCAAACTGTTTTTCTTAGGGAGGCATATAGGAAAGGGGGGTTGATTGAGCCTAATCCTGTGTACACAGCTCGTAGGAATATGTTGGACCTTGTATTATTAGGGCGTAGGAGAACCAAACAATTGCTAGCTTGTAATGAATTTAAGGAAGTGAGCAATGCTGTAGTTCATGAAGTGCATGAGGAAGGTAAAAGACAAGGAGATTGGGTGATTCCATTCTTGGAGAGTTGTGAGGAGAATAGATCCTCATGATAGTGTGAAGGTAGCAGAGGCAGCATAGTTGAAGCATTTACCTTGACAGCGATATGTTTATTAACATATATTCTGCTGCTAATTCTCATCTCTTTAAATGTTTTTATCAAAAGAAGTAGTCAAGTGTTGATACAAGAAGGTAGTATCATGCTGTGAGATTTTCCGTAAATTTAATAATTTGCAGTTAGATTTGATTGGGTTGTTACTTGTATCTAAACATAAAGCTTTTACTCTGCTTTGGTGTTTTTGTGCCATTAAAGTTTATTTTTAGCTACAGATATGTCCTCCTGATACCAAAGAACTGACAGTTTCATGTGCGTGTGACTCCAAATAGTATCTCATACCTGCCTGAGTGCCTGAAGACATGAACTTCCAATACAACATGTACTTGTCTTTAGGTCATTCAAACTAGATTCTTGTGATTTATTCAAATTTCAAAAGATGTTTATGACACTAGCAGCAATAGAATGTGGTATTTTGCTAGGTTCTAGTTGCTTCATTTTGACCCGTAACTGGACTTCTACTCATAATTGTAGTGTTTAGTTGCCTTGTGGTACTGAAAGCTTATGAATTGAAGGAAAGAGATGCAATGTGTAGCCTTGTGATGCTGAAAGAGTATGTGCTTGCATTTCAGAGGTTTAAGATACCTCCATTCGACAAAAAAAAAAGCTTGGTGAGTGGTGACCTTGTTATCTTTCAATTTTCTCTTGGCTATCTGCAAAAGCATTCACTATTTGCGGTGTTTGCATATTTGTAACTTCCTCTTCTATATATAAATATTATCCTGCTTCTTACCTGCAGTATGGTTAGAAGGTAAGTGTTATTCTTTTTCGATAGAATAGAAGGCAAGCTCACCCTTTGCCAGATCCCTATATCAATGATCAGTTCAGAATCTGATGTTTAAGTACATCAATCAGATTTGATATAACAAAATCAGAGCAATATTTCAGAAAATAACATGCTTTTCCCCCATTGAAATGGGTGTTTCGAACATAAAATTGGGTGGCTGTTCACTTATGCATTGATTCTATGTACTGTTAGCACTGTGATGGTCAATAATTTGTGTGTACACTGGGTAGAATATCATAATCTGCGAATATGAAATTCTTAAGTTGTTGATTGGTGCTGCATCTTCACAGAAAGCACTAGTTTGTGCCCTGACTCTTGGTTCATCCACTATATCCAACAAATTCGGTGATCTTTCTTCACTATTGTGTTATGTTCACAAAGTTGACCATTATACTAGACATAACACAATGGTTGGAGGAGCCTTGTGCACGGGACCAACCCTTTTTTTGGTATCTATTGCTTGGAATTATGAACATAATTTTCGGCTCATTGAGTTGATTTCCTTCTACTTTTATTCTCCTGTGCAAGTGCATTCTTTGGATCTTGATACATCACTTGTCAAATGTGGTGGCTGGACGGAAGAAAAAATCACTGGTTGACAAATTACCCCCTATGGCCCTATCTATTAAACATGCACCCCTTTCCTGCAAGTAAGATGTTCTACACAGATATTAGCACTCCAAATAACAAACTTTTGCTATCTAGACATCTTACACATGTCCAGTTGGTTCTCTCTCCGGAGAACCGGGCTCCTATACTTTTAGCTCTCTATACATTTTTGTCCGTCCTACCTTTCTCCGATTCAAATTTCAAAATTTGAATCATCCCATGCAAGAACTCAAGTCACGGCTAGTCGGCTACTCAAGAAATATTAAGCTCTTCCTTTATATTTACAGAGGGTCTTGCAGATGAGACTCAAGAACATCTGGAAGAACAAGTGTGAATTGTGATGACAATCTTCTCAAGAAGAGAGGGAGGGACTTCAGACCTTTTGACCACTTTGCAGCAGAACAGGGTACACCGGTACAGACCCTCAAACCAAGGGAAACCTATTATCTGTGTGGTGGCCGGTGGAACATGAATGTTTCATCTCATTTTCTTTTTGATAAAGTCCCCTCAACTTGAGCCAGGTTCAGCCTCTTTTTTATTGTTTTATTTGTTTCCTGCATTCTGTTGGGATATTTTTCTTTTTTATTTATTTATTTACTTTCACCAAGAACCGAATTTATATGGTAACAATTTTCAGCTGAATAACTTTGAGTGCTATTTCGCTTTCTTTTTTTTGTGTGTATAATTCCCAGTTTATATGTTCATAAAAAGTGTAGTGTATCTGAGTATTGTTAAGATTTAATATCTTATAGTTTATTTATCCAAATAGCATCTTAAGATCCTTGCCCGATTTACAGAGTAATTCACCACCCTGCTTTCTTCAAAGCACACTCAATACCAATATCTTTACCCATTGCTCTGTATTTGGTTGCTAATTCTATTAACTCAGAAGTCTCAAACCTGTTGATCAATATAATGATATTTGGTTTTGTCTTTGCTGATGTCTTAATAGGTGAATTACTCAATCATTGAGGACTTATATAGCCTTAAGCTCAGCCTTGCTTATTTATCTATTAGACTAGAAATTGTTCAATTCTGTCAATATTTGTTAACCTCATGATTATAGTTTGAGTCACCAAAGATATTATTATCATTTAGTCGTTCTCCCCATTCTTTCTTTATATTTGTTACATTTCTATTCCTGTAGCCATAATTATTCCGTCCTTTTGAAATCAAATGACCAAGTGAAAGTGGAAGACAATTGGCTGAAAAACCTAAATTTCCATCTGGTATTCTAGAGCAGATAAATGTTAAAGTGCTATAATAATATAGACATTAAGAGCTGATAAATGTTAAAAAGACTTTAACATCATAGGTGTCAATATGACTGTTCTCAGCCATTAGTTAAGCGACTTCATCGCTTTAAGCCAACTTATACATGAATGAAATCACTTTCTACACACTACAGTACTTATGATTTTAAAGTCTTTCAACAATGTTGGTATTGTATATACTTTCTACGGGATAAAAGGGTTGGAGATATGCAAAGTCTTTCAACAAAGTCTTTCAACATAATAGAACCCTAGATATGCAAAGTGCAAAAGGCACAACTTCACTAAAAACAAAAAAGCAATGAAAACATGGGCCTTGACTTTTGGGACTATTCAATCAGTCTGTTATTTTCTGCCTGTGCTCATAATTTTTTTACAATTTTTTTACTACTTCATACTATAATTTGAAGCAATGTTATAAAACCAGCCCAGTCATTGACTCGGTCAGTGTACTGGGTCAACCAGTGGTCATTGGTTCAACCGCTTAAATAGGATAAATATGTAAAAACAATCCTCCTTGCACAAATGGCCCCTGATTTGAATTTCCATATGATATGCAAATCAATTAGATACTTATTTCTTTTAAACTAAATGTATAGACTCAAAAATGACCAGAAGATGACATTTAATATGTTTGAGAAATTAAAATATAAGACTAACTACAACTACAGCTCAACTCCATAAGTCAGTATAGATGTTAGCTGAACTTCCAAACCCAAACCTTACTTCCCTATGCAAACCGAAAAGAAAATATAACATATGATAATTAACATGGCAAGTTAATACACGAGTATTGGTGGAGTTTGCAAGTACATCATATGAAAATATGTAGAGTGGTAGCCCAATACAAGAAGAGTCCAAATACTTCTCCATAGAACAGCAAAATAAATTATCCTTGAAAATCGAAACACTAAAATTAAAAAAATTAAATCAACACAATCATGAGATTCAGATTAAGGAAGACAAAAATGTAAGTGCCAAATAAAAGATGGAAGAAGAAGGGAAGAGGGTCACGATTTTGATAGCTGGAAGAGACGAAGTTGAGCATGTGAAGGGGAAGAGAAAGATCGCAAGAGAGAAGGTGGGGGCATTTAGCGTCTGTGTCCTTCTTATTCTCTACATTTTCAAGGTCCCCCATCGGTCCAAAAGTCAATAAATTTTGTTTGTAAATCGCCTCTTCGAGTCACAGTTAACTTCTCGTGCATTGCTTTTGTATGCAGCACACTAGCACAATATCAACATGAATTGAAAACCAGTTTTGAGTTATCTGGTTCTCGGTTTTGATGAGAACTGTCCGAGTTGAATTGGTTGACCCTGGTTTAGATGCATGTCCGATCAGTTACATAACTCCGGCTACACTACCGGTTCACCGATTTCCGGTTTAAACTGGCCAATCCCAGCCGGTTTTGTTAACACTGATTTGAAGTTTATGTATAGCAATGCAACCCTAAGCAAATTTAGATCCAAAATAACTAAGGATACCGCCTCATACTATCAGGAAAAGTTTTGTATCACGCACCCAGACTTAATACCAAACCTAACACAGACCATGTAACACTTTGACTATGCTCCCTGCCCCTTTCCCCTACACTGGGTGTTTTTTGGCGTGCTGTTTGAGAGCTTGACCTGTCTTGTGTTTGGCTTTTAAATACAAAATCTCCTATGAATCTGTAGTTTTTGTTATTGTCCTATTATGCTTCTTGAACACTTAGATATTCCATTAAAACTTGAGTAAATAACCGGGTGTTCCGTTTCGAAAAGAAAAAAAAAAATAACCGGGTGTTCAGCAGTTGCGACAAAAGAATGATGATTTTGTGGTCTGGCAAGAGATCATCTCTTTGGTATATATTGAGTTGATGAATGACCTGGATTTCATTATGTCAGTTAAACTGGGAAGTGAATTTTGAATCTGTTAATTATTGTTGTATATGAATTTACTTTGGAAGGTTGCTAGAGTGTAGGAAGCAAACTCTTTGCAAAAATATAAAAGTAAAGCTGCATACAATCAACCATTACCTTTATCCCCATAAGGGGGAGTCTTGTGCATTGGGATTTGCCCTTACATGAATTTACTTTGGAAAATATAGTATTTTATGATTGATTTTGTTATCTTCTAGCAGGACTCTTTAAAAGGTGGTAAGTGGAGCAATGAAGCTACGATGACCAAGGAAGAAGCATTAGCAGAGCCGCAAATGATGTTTTTCAGAGACATACTAGGATGAACGGTGGGGCCATTACTCCCTAGCAGCCAGATGATGACCATAGTTTAGATAGATTACTTTAGGACCTTTATTTTCTTGAAGCATATGCAAGCATCTCTGATTCCTGTTTGTGCTTCTAATTAGCTCTATTGTGTGCAAGAAAGTGATTGCATTTTATCATGTTGGGAGCTATGTTTCAATGTGTATGATAATTAATAGGATAGAACACTAAGATATGATGGAATAATGATGCAATGCTCGGGCTACTGACTAGGAAACAATCTGAATAATCCTTGTGTCTAGTGAAGGAATTGCATTGAGACTCAAATAAGTAGTAATTGTTAGGAATTTTATGTGAGATGTGGAAGTGAGATTTGCGCATCAAGAAATAATGATAAATAGAAAATGGCTTGCATGAAGAATTTGGCCTCTGAATCTTGAGTCATGACTGTAGATTTTGAGAGAATCCTAATCATTTATAGACAATTAATGATCATGGGGAATGGAAAAAAAAAATGTTAGAATAAAGACTTACAAAATCATCACTCTTAATTTTTTTTATACATAATTAATATTTTCTCGCATGATATGACATGTTCATGTTAATTAACACATGAAAAGAAAGTAAAACGTCAAGCATCTGAAGTTTATCCAAGCCGAAGGAGTATATATATTTTTTTAATTAGCATTCCCCTCATATGATATTATTCTAAATCATTGCTATCCTGCTATTTCGCTTGCATTCTATTTTATGTTTGGTTTTTTTTTTTTTTTTAATCTTTGTGTAGATATGCTCATAGGCATTTTTGTGTGACTAACGTCATGTATTATCACTAGGATACTGTCCTTACGATTTTCTTTCCCAGATTTCCGAGCTCAGCGCTTCGCTTTATGTTAGGAGAAAGAGTATAAGGCGAAAGCATTTCTTTTTTTTTTTCAGGTCTCAAAAAATTTAAAAACTTTTACTGTTCAGTTGAAGATAAATAATAGAGAAAAATCTAAAAAGAAAAAAAATGCCTTTGAATTCAATTTTTTTTTTTTAGTTTAAAAATAAGTATCTTTTTTTTGTTCTAAATTAATACACTAAGTTATTAAATAAGCATAGTGTTTTTTTTTTCTAAAGGTTAATTATGTTAATATCTGTTCCGGATTGCCCCACGTCATAGTGGCCCAACGACTTAAGCCCAAATCTCTGGTCCACGTCAGCCTTAATGACCCTCAGCTCCTCCACCCCCAAGGCGACGACGTTCCCAATATGAGACACCAAAATGTCTCATCTTGGGACTATAACCCTCAAAGTTACCACCCCAGTTATTATAAGTGGCAACTGCCCTTTGTCGAATGCTGACATTGTCAGGCGCAAAGGGTGCATCACTGCTATCATAACAGTGTCTGCACTGTAAGCCAACCCCAAGGAGAGTTGATCTTCTCCACAACAACCCAGACCAGACCAAGACACCTCCCTCTATAAATATACCTCTCCACACACAAGGAGGGCACATTATGTATCGTTATTCTGCCCATTTACATTGAGTTACACTACACACACCTTACCCCATTGTTATCTGCATATATACTTGGAATAGTGTCTTTGAGCTTGGTCTCTACCAACACTTGGAGCATAATCCATATAGTGACTCGATCCCTACAGGAAACATAGTAGGCTTATGGTCCTCAAACGGCACAATACCATTAATAGATTAATCTTATTTGACTCTTACATGACACCAAATGATATTTTTGCTACCCAATACAATGGCTATTCAATTTTCTAAAGTCTTTTTGAAAATTCTCAAAGATAGGTTATTTTTATTGAGTACGGATATACTTATTATAAAAAAAATTTATCACTCTTATAATTAATTTAATTACTGTTGATTTCTGTTAATTTGACGATTATAATTTATTAAGAATTAATAATTAATTAATAAATATGACTCAATAAATTTATCAATTCTCAATAAATTATAATCGTTAGATCGGCAAAAATCAACGGTAATTAAGTTGATCGTAAGAGTAATAAACTTTTCTGATAATAAGGGTGTGCATGACAACCTTCCCGGAATCAATTCTTTTTTAATTTATGTTCCCAGGAACAGAAATGGATAGGAAACTCGTTTGGTAAAATCGGTTTATTTTTTTGTTCCCGGGATAAACCGGTTTAATTTTTGTGCTGGGGAATAGAAAAAAGAATAAAAAAAATTTCTGCTTTTTTGTTCCCGGGCACAAAATGAGAAACACTTATCCCTTTTCAATCACTCTCTGTCATCGTACCACTAGTGTCGTCGTCATCACCACCTCCACCTATCACCACCACAACTACCACCATCACCACCACCACAACTACCGCCGCCGCCGCCACCACCACTATCACTGTCACCACCACCATCACCACTACCGCCATCAACCATCACCACCATCATCGCAACCACTACCCTCACCGCCACCATCGTCATCACACGCCACTGCCACCACCCCCATCGTCATCACTACCACCACTACTATTGCCGCAGCCACTACTGTCACCACCACCGTCGTCGCTGCCGCCTCCACCAACCACCACCACCATTACACCACCTCCGCCACTACCATCGCCACATCATTGCCACCACTACCACCACCGCCACCACCACTGTCACCTACCACCATCGCCACCGCCGCATCCACTATCACCACCACCACCATGATGCCTTCATAACCACCACCACCATGTCACTGCTACCATTGTTGCCGCCACCAACCACCATACCCACCACTATTGTCGCAACCACTGTCGTCACCACCACTACCACCACCTCTGCCACCATTACCACCGCCATCGTCGCATCCACTGCCGTCACAACCATCACCATTATCTTCACCGCGTCACTGCCACCACCACTACCGTACCGCCGCCGCTGCCTCTACCACAACTATACCATGTGGAAAGGAAAGTGATGATCTGGATTTTTTTTATATTTAATAGCAATTATTTTTTATTATATTATTTGTCGTGTTATCAAACACAATTCTCATTCTTGGAATAAAAATAGAACATGTTATCAAACACATTTTTTTTTCTCAAAAACTATTCCATGACACAGAAATAGAAAAAAATTGTTTCTTTTCAAAAACAGTGCTAGGGAATAGAATGGTTGTCATGCACATCCTAAGTGTATCCGTTCTCATATTTATTATTATTTTTTCTTACTATTAATTTTGTTATCATTAGATTAAAATTAAATTAACGTTATAAAGTAAAATTAAGTGAGAGTCATTGATATTCAATGGTAATAAGATTGATAATAAAATATAGAGAAAAAAATGATAGTAGGTATATATTATCTCGTTTTCAAAATATTAAGTATGTTGCTATCACTTCCAAAATTTAAAACTTTTTTTTTTTTTGGCCTCTCGTGAAACAAAGTGGTATTATTATCGTGAGTTTTATTAATCTCATGTTGAAAGAGATAAGTTATCTCATGTCATAGAGATAAACTTGTGAGCTTCATCATTTAAAAAAAAAAATAACATAATTATCAAAAGATATATAGAAAAAAAAATTAGCACGTACAGCATAAGAATCGTTTTTTTCCTATTATTCATTACGGTACCTTGTGATACACTTGTGGGAGTACAGTGTTTAGTTTATATATAAACACACGCACTAAGCATCTAGTGATAGCTGAGTGTATAAATCCGAAACGCAAAACCTGTGAAGTAAAACCCTTTCGATTGAAAACAAAAAAATGGTGTATGGAACATTTTGTGCACTGAGCCATAAATCGCTAGTGTTATCTCGTTCCCTCAAGTTTTGGCGTCAAACCATTTCTCTTTCAGCTACTCCTACTCGCATTCAAAGCAACTCTTTCCCTTTCAACCGCAATGGAACCCCCCTCACACCACTGCGCTTTCGTAATTCTCGCCTCTCTGCCCTCTCTGACTCTAATAACGCTTCATCTGGAAATGGCGGACTTGGTGGTGGCTCTGGCGGTTGGAATTCCGGCGGCGGCGGCGGCGGCAGCGGCAGCGATGGAGGAGAAAAGTGGTCCTTCTTGTCATGGTATAGAAACTTCAATTGAAATACCATAGTTAATTTTAGGGATAAGTTTAAACACTCCATCATGGTTTTCTTTAAATCATTTAGCCCCTATGGTTTTCTTAGAAATTTGATAAATCTGTCTATTCTATCCTTTATATCATTTTGTTTCTCACACGTGTTAGTAACAATATAACCAAATTTTCTTTTATTATCCATTTTCTGAAAAAATAAAATAAAATTTGTGAAGTGCAACCTGACTGTGATAGGAACATAGAAAACAGTTGCAATTAGATTTTAACCAAAGTAATTTTTATTAAATAATTTTTTTACAAAAAGAGCCAAATGCCAAAATTCAGAAGCCAAAACTGCAGATTTCTTTATGAATTTATCCAACATATTGTTTTGTAATCAAAGAATAGTCTAGAAGAAAAGGCTCTTTAGTTTCTTGTCTTGAAAATAATTTTCCGTTTTTAAAATTGAGACCAATTCTTTGTAGAGGTTAGAGGACAATAAGAGAACTTTGTATTGGGATAGGTTTTGTGCTCACTTTCGGTTCTATGACTTCCACCCATTGTACCTTGTTTCTTAAATGCCATCATTATGTGATAAACACCCTCTTATTCTTATTTATATAATTTAATAATTCAGCACAAAGGGAACTTGTTTTATACTATATTTAACCTTGCATTGGTTTACTCTTCCGGCATTTGGCATTTGGCTCTTTTGTAAATTTTAACCTTGCATATGGTACTTCACAAATTTTTTTAGAAACTGGATAATGAAAGAAAATTTGATTGTATTGTTAGAAACCCTTGTAAAGCTTGAGGAACAAGAAGATATAAAGGGTAGAATAAACAGATTAATCAAATTTTTAATAGTGTTAAGTAAGAACTTGGATGAAAATAACCATGGGGGGGGGGGGGGGGGGTAAATGATAAAAAAAAACATAGGGGGATAAGTGATTCAAGGGGAAACCATAGGGGGATTTTTAAACTTTTCCCTTAATTTTATCCATAATGAGAACTATTAATGTGTAACTTACAAATGATTTGTAGTGCACACATGAATGGAGCACTAGATTGTGTTTTTGCTTATCAAAATGCTTTGTTTCTTTTTACCTCTTGTTGAAAATCACTTATTGAAAATTGTTATGGAAAATTTGACTCGATTGTTAATCATCAGTTTGGTAATTGGTAGCACCCTTTGCCATTCTGCTTCCCATTTCGTTTTTAATGGGGCTTATTATTTTTATAAAAATTTAGAATTACATAGCTACATTGCCAACTGTTTCATCATCATCTTGAATGGTGAGAGTGTAATACAAGAAAAAATAAATCCTGAAACATTTAATATTAAATAACACTGCAACCCACAAGACAAGGCACCAAAGTGCAATGGTTGAAGATTTAATAAGGGTCCTGTTTCAAGTAGGAATTTACATAAATCTGAATATGTATCCTACTTTGTATTCGAAATCATTATCGATATTGTGATATGTCTTTCGTTTTAGCATATGGATATTGATAGGAACCTTCTACTCAAATACAGAAATAACACAAAGAACAATGACTTTGGTCTGAATAATCAGATTTTTTATATATTAAGTAAAAGACAATTACAGAGACACTGAGCAAGATACATTACTGAGACAATTTGCAGAATATAAAAGAGAATTACAACGAACAAGGAAATAACAATAAAGGATAGTTCTAGAGGAATTCTAGAGCCCCTAGTCTCTCCCAAATCACCCTAAGGTGCCCAAAGTTCCAAATGCCCAAAAGATGTCTTTCCTCACTTCCCTGCTGCCGTCTAACCACTTCACCCTCTCTCCTTGCCACCTCATCCCTTCTAACAGAATTCGAGCCTTCCAACAACCTCACCTCTAGAATATTCCTTTCATTAGCTGAGTCATCCTTCCTAAATAATTCTCTGTGGCAATTCTTATTATAGACCATTAGTGGGGTCCTATCAGATACCTTAGCTTTCATTTGAATATAGAAAAAACAGTTTTGAGAAAGCAGCCACCCCTGCTTTAGATTCTTTCTTTTTTTGGGTAGGAAGAGAAGGGGAGGAGGGTGATTGTGCCTTGTGTATATAAATCTAAGAATGGGTTTTCTATTCGTTGCTATTCAAACTACTTGCAGTGGTTCTAACCTGACTTTACTACAGGTACTTGGCTCTTCTTGGAAAATACCCTGTACCAGTAAAAGCTCTAACATCTGCAATTTTGACACTAATTGGAGATTTGATTTGCCAGGTATTACGATAATTTTTTGCCTGTTTGTCAAACGATGTGCATTTGTTTAGTACTTCATCAATGTTTCAAAATGTATGAGATACATAGGGATAAATTTCACATAAAATGGCATACTTATTTCGAGCAACTTGGGCATGGCACTTGTGGTGCGTGGACAACAGATTGGATTATGTAAGGTTTTCCAATAATTTAAAAGCAACAGGGAAGATATAATTCTTCTTGAATTCATGGAATCAAATGTCGGTAGAAGGATACGATCATTGTTAGGGACTCGGCAAGTGCACCGGTCATACAAGTAATAAAATGATTGAGTAAGAGTATCGTTCCCACGAGGATTAGATTTTAATCACTAATTTTCTATTTACGCTTAAGTTCGACAATTGATCAAGAGAATTGTATAAAAACTAAACTAAATAACAAAGTAAGAAAGCAAAAATCAAGTTACTTGACAATCAAGAAACACGATTAGGGTTTTGATTCCCCCAATCTCCCTTTTTATGTTATGAATTAAAGAGTTAAGACCCTTAATTAAACATCCTTTTTCATATTGCCAATCAACTCCCCTAAATTAATTAAGATTCGATCCCTTGACATCCTAATTTTTTATTCTCTTTAAAGAATCCTAGTTCCCCTGTTGTTCTTCAAAGAAAATAAACATTAAATCCAAGAATCAAGAAGATTGCATTCTTCCTGTGTCTATCCCTAGAATCATAAGAATTAATGATGAATTTACCACGCACAATTCATGTACCAACATCCCTATCGCCATACACTGACCCTAGATCAATCTACAAGATCTAACTCATAGAAGACATGAAGAAAAGATAAATTCATTCAATATAAAAAGCATAGTTATTAATAGCGAGTAGCGGCCAACCTGAAAAATGCTATAGCGGTATAGTGGGTAGTGGTATAGCAGTGTAGTCCACGTAAATGTAGTCATTGTTTCAGACTGATATATATTAATAATAGTAATATCCGTTCCACAAAATAACTATGTTTTCATGCTTTTGACTAGATATAAAAATGATTTTAGTCCTTTATTCAGGAATGCCAAACAGCTTCAGGTTATTATCACTTATTTAGAAAAAGATTCAGGATATTTTCACCCTAAACTGAAAGTACTATTTAGAAAATTTTCTCAACATTGAGTTTAAGCAACATTTAAGAAAAGCAATGTTTTCATTGCTGGGTTGGTTTATTATTACAATGGTTTGGACTCTAAATGGATAAGAATGGCTAAGAAGATTACTTAAAAATGCAAAAGAAGTTCTTACACTCTTATGCACATGGATTTGCACCAACTTGTGGTGCTGTCAATAATTTTTTGTATTTTTCTGTGGAGAAAAGGAGATGTTAACATGGAAAAATCTAAAGTCTAAATGTTACAGAAATAATCTAACTGATTTTGATTTTACATTAATTGAAATGTTTAGACTACTTTAGCAGTCTTGCAAGTAATTAGCAAATATATTTAGACCTGTCAAGTCCATTTGCTCAAGCTTAGTCTAGCATAAATTACTAGACAAAGGTGACAGACCACTAAAATGCTGTCAGACAGATTGATAGTTTCCTTAAGATGATACACACTTCTTATTTGCCTTAGAAAGTTTTTGATAATCCAGTGTCCTTGTGGACTGGTAATTTATTGTAAATGTCCCTACCATTTCTTTTGAGTAGGGTTTTTCCTATTCGCTGACTCTTTTTTTCCTTTCTTCTCATTAGTACATGCTATATATCTATCTCTGATTTTAACATGCGCTGGATGCCCTACTTTATGTCTATGCCTAATGTATTATCTCTGTAATTGATTAGCCGGAAATTGATGCATTTTTATTTTTCTGCATTCTGAATTTTATCTCTTCGCTAAGTTGGCTTACATGACAGTTTGGTCAATCCTCTTTGCTTGTGGTCAAGCTTGACATGACATAACATTTGAATTTGATTTTAAATGGATAATTTTTTAAGCCAGTACTTAATTTACTTTTTAAAATATTGATTGCCTTTGCTTTCATTTGTATATATTCATTATTTTAAAAAAAAATTACTTTTTATTTTCCACAGCTTGTGATAGACAAAGTGCAGTCAGTGAACTTCAAAAGGACATTCCTCTTTACTCTGCTTGGTTTTGTGTTAGTGGGTCCAACATTGCATTTCTGGTAATGCCCTAGAATCTATGTCGGTATGCCTGAAAATTAATTCTCTGTTTATAGTCTATTCATTGAGATGTTTTAAATGATGTAAAGAAATACCAACGCCAGTAAGAGTTAGTGTAATTATGTTTATGGTCCTGTATGCAGTTCTTTTGTTTCAATAATATTGCAAATGTCTATTCTTTTCCCCAATGATTATTATTAGAAATATCGAATGAAGATTGATTTCTGAGATTCTTGGTGTCAAGTTTAGGAGATTTTCCACATATATTAGCATGGCCACTAGAGTGTGGATGAAGAAAATAATTGTTAACCCATTGTCGTTCCTGACATTTTTTTTGAATCTATAGGTACTTGTATCTGAGTAAACTTGTTACACTTCCTGGAGCATCAGGTGCACTTTTGCGGCTTGTACTTGATCAGGTGGGATGTTGTCATTGGACCCCAAACCCACCATCTATTGTCACTTTGTATCAATCATTAATTATGTATTTGTTTCATATTTTAATTTTGAATGTGATGAAATATGATTGCAGTTCTTATTTTCTCCCATATTCATTGGAGTTTTCTTAGCTACATTGGTGACACTAGAGGGAGGGCCATCACAAGCTGTGCCCAAGCTTAAGCAGGTGGTGTTAACAGTTTTATTTAACTTGTATATGCTAAAAATGTGTATTCAAAGACTGTTATTTCGTTGTTGTCATGTTGAATAGTGTTTACTCATCCAGAAATTTCATTTTGTAGGAGTGGTTTTCTGCTGTTCTAGCGAACTGGCAATTATGGATACCTTTTCAATTCCTCAACTTTAGATTTGTTCCGCAACAATTTCAGGTTAGACTGGCAGACTGGACTATATAAGCAAAGTGGGGATTTGACATGACCATAGCCATAATCTTTTAATCGCTCTGAAACCTGTTGGAGTTTTAATACAGAGGATGACTGCTAGAGTTTTCTTTCCTCATCTGCATTTGAACGCACCAGATTTCTTTATTTGGAAAGAGGAATTTTCTATTGATCTGTCAAGAGATACACGCACACACACATACTCTTTATTATCCATTTTAGTTGAACAACAATAGAAAATAGTACATAAGGCATTTTTTGTTAACATTTATTGCTTCACCTTGATTCTTGTTTGAATCTTTGGGATGCATCTTGTTGGCCCCTTTGTTTTCAAGTATTACCATATCAAAATTGAGATGCCATTTGTCATTTTCTAAGTTGGTAGATGAGGCGTTAGAAGGATTCTCAGTTCATCGTTTCATTTCTTTTTTTATTTAAACCAAATATGCCCATGCACACGCATTGATACTTTATATGGACTGGGAGAATTATTCTTGATCTTTAGTTAAGTTCTTTGAGAAATTCTTCAAATGCCTGAAATGGAGGTATCTGTGGTTATGCTTGCTGAGAAGGATATTTTTCCCTGACCCCTGCATGTTTTTTTTTGTTGACATTATACATTGACCATAGCATCTACGGTTTTCTTCAATGTTCTTATATTTGCTTCTTCATTTGTAAATATTTTGAAATAATTTCAGGTCCTTGCTGCTAATGTCATTGCTTTAGTATGGAATGTTATTCTCTCATTTAAGGCACACAAAGAAGTTCTTCCAAAATAGGTAAGCTTTTGTTCCATGAATGCAGAAAACCTAATTTTAACCAGCTCCATTACCTTAGGAATTCCAGTATACATGAGTATATGAGGCAAGAAGAAAAAGAAATACTTCTGTTATTAAAGTGAATACGCAATAAACATGTTCTTTCTTCCAATTTTTTTCTTAGGTTCAATAAAATGCATATTTATACACATATATCAATTGTCATGTATTGGGGGGGAGGGGGGAACAGTATCAGGGATTCTGAAGCATGAATTCTCTTATCCACAATCAAATTTATTACTTCCAAAACTCTTCGAAATTCGTAGAAACATTTTAACAAATAGCTGCTTTTTTAAATAGATGCTAGGGTAGAGAATATTAGGAAATGATAAAGTTGCACGTTACTAAAAATATCTTAGAGTTTATCACCTAACGAGATAAGAAAGGGAAATATGTTTCTCATGTTGCATAAGATAATTTTGTCTGGGGTGGGATTCATTTTCTCTCTCTCTCTCTCTCTCTTCAACTTAGTGGGTCCTATGTATTGTTTTGTGTATATTCCCCGATAAGAAATAATTAGGAACTACATTAACCCTTGCCTCTGGGTGCTCAATCTGTAATGCCGTACAAGAACCTTGTTTTTATCTGAAATCCTAACAGCTGTGTGGATAGATAAGCTACCATGAACCTTTTCGTAGAAGAACTTTCAGACGTACTTTTGGTGCTTTTTAATTAAGAAATCCTAGTAACAGTTGTACAACTCTGTCTTTTTATTTTTTTATAATCTTTTCATTTTATAGCTTAGCTGATCATCACAAGCTACAGTAACTTTGAACATCGTTGGACAATATTAATCAGTTTAATGTCCGTTGAACATTGTTCAGAATTATTCAGACAAGGAACTTGCAAGGAAGCTGCAGGAGCTGTATTCAAGTCTTTTAAATGTTATGGTAATTTAGGTGAACATGAAGACTAGCAGTTCTATAAACTCGCATGTAGAATTTTTGTATACTACTTTCATCAATGTAAGCCTCCTCCTTGTGTTCCCTAAGATCCTCCTTGCATACTATTTTTGTATATAATAGCTATTCTTTTGTTAAACAAATTCAAAAAGAAAATGGTTTTAGGAAGCGAAGTTTAGATCCGGTTATTTTGTAAGATTATGAAATTAAGTGGGCGTTTCCAATATGGTTTGTCTTGAAAGTTATATTCAGCTGGATTGGGGAGCCACGTTTATTCCGTTAAAGCGTGGGGCGAAATCAAGTGTTTTTCTTTTGCTTTGATGTTTCACGAATAAAAAAGATGGAGAAAAAAATACTTTCCTTTCCTTCGATTTTTTGTCAAATATATCCCTGGCCTTTATTTTTCTTAATTTGTTCAGTTAGTGTGATAGTTGTTCTTATTTTATTTTATAAATTAAAATAAAAAAATCAGCAATCACATAGTCGTATAAATATTTAAACAATTCATACAATTTTATTCAATTACAAGAAGAAGAAAAACAAATTTAGGTACATATTAGCTATTTAGCTTTGATTACCATGGCAGCAATAGCAAACACACATGATGTACCAAATCTATGAAGCAGTGTTACTTTGAATTCGTTTTGTTTGATTTAAATATTAGAGTAAATATTATTTTTGGTCCTTAGCAAATTTTACGATGCCCGATTTAGTCCTTAGCAAATAAAAAAGCTCATTGTGGTCCTTAAGAAATTCAAAATGGACCAATTTAGTTGAAATCGTGGTCCCTCACAATTTCAAAAAAAGGCCCATATTAGTCCTCAAAAGGACTAAAATGGATTCATTTTGTATTTTTTAGGGACCACGATGGACCTTTTTATTTGTTAGGAACTAAAACGAGTATCGTAAAATTTACTGAGGACCAAAAAGAGTATTTACTCTAAATATTATTCGGTTAAAATACGATTTAATTTAATCCATGAAACTGATTGAATCATGGGCTTAAAGGATTCAAGTTTTAATTTGATTTTTAAAATTTTGTTATCCACATGAAACTATGGGACAATACACAACAAAGTGGGTGTATGTGTGTTGCAAAATTTGAACTAGTTACAGGTTAGGCATCTTGTGTCAGAAGACATTGACCGATATATACTGCCTCGAATGAAGCAAACGTACTTCTGCACAAATTGTTGCAGGTGCAGGCTGTTTGAATTTTTATTTTTTATTTTATTAGTTTTTTGTTTCTTTGGTCTCCCACGGTTAGATGCTAATTTTCATCGTAAGGAGTGCTACGATTACCTTTTTAAATGGCGTCTATACAAAAATGTAAATAATATGAGAAATGTTTGTTGCTCTCGATATCCCGCATATGTATAAAAAAAAAAAAAAATTGTTTATACAATTTATTTTATTTCTTTTGGTAAATTGCTCATACAATTTTCGTGACAAGAATGATGTTTACATAAGAATGATGTTTTTCTTATAAAATGTTCCATCATTTCAAATATCAATAGTTTCGGGAAATAAAATTTGTTTCATTTTTATTTTTTCTTCATAAAACTAAGAAAAAAAAATTTCTAACGTTTTCTTTAATTTATTCACTAAATAGAATGAGAGAATGCATAAATGAAATAAAAATAAATAAATGTTTCAGTAAAATATAATTTAATTAGATGAAGTTTTTTGTTTTTTTACTTTTTTTATAACATGAAAAAAACATTCAATTCTTTCTTTACAAGGAAAATTAAAATGATTGATTAAGAGATTTAAAATGGTTTTAATAGGAATACAAAATATTACGAAATGCTGAAGGAAGCATGAGGTCAGGGAGAGGGAGAGATAAGGGCATAGCTGTCAAATATGATTATTCGTTAAATGAAGAGACAAAAGAACTGTTGAAGAAGCACAGACACATTTGACAATGACCGTAAAAGTCACTGGACACGTCAACCATTGCAACCCCACAACTACTTTGGTCAACAAATTGCATCCTCGACCACATTTCCCTATGCCCACTTCCTCTCTCTATTCTAATCTCAAAATTAAAGAATAATATTTTACATTCAGTGTGTGGGAGCTAAAAAAATAAAATGAATTTAGGTTAGATTTGTATGTCACTTTTGAAAAAGGTTTGAAATATTTATCTCTAATCCTTCGTGCAATTGTGGAAATACAAAAAAAATATACTCGCCTTAAAAAAATAATTAGAATATATTTTCCAAAAAAAAATTGATTTCATTAGATAGTGATAACTCAGTTGATAGAAATGAGCTAAGTAAGTGAAAAATAAAAAGACTCTGATTCAATCCTCACATGTCATCTATAGGAGGGATTTAAATATCTTCATTCTGACCCGCTCAACACTTCGAATTAGTCTGATAGCCGATTCAAAAAGTTGAAATTTATGAAAATATCGAGAGAAGCCAACACACTTGAGATAATTAATTAGTATTGTGTTAACTCAAAAAAAATTATTTTCATTTCTCTTCGTGAACTTTTATCTTTCTTTGTGCCTACCATTTTTCTTTTGCATGTTGTTAATTAGCATGTGTTTAAGAGATTGCTTATTAATTCATTCTTATTGCTAGTTTAAAAAATATTAAATATATTTATGGAGTATTAAATGTTTCTATTTCACATTTTCTAGTTTTTATTTCATTTTATTTTATCAAATTCCTTTGGCAATAATTTTATTTGATGCTTTCAAGGTAAATATTTATAATTAATTTCCAGTTCGTAAAAAATATAATTTATAATGGTATTATCATTAGAAGATGTTAAAATCTTGTTACAATGTTTTGAAAACTAAATTAATAATTAAATATATCTCCAAACAAAAATTAATAATTAAATCAAGAAAATTTTTAAATTTGTAGTTCAACCGTGACTAATTTATATGGTGTTTGAATACACATTTATTATTAATTAGCTCTTGATTCAACATATCTCTAATAATTTTAATTTATTAATCATATGAGAAGTTAAATATAAATAAAATTAATAATAAACACCCTCACCAAAAAAAATTAATAATAATAATAAACAATGAAAGTAATACCTATTAGTCTTATATTTCTATAATTAATCCTCCCTTAAAGATATAATTAATTTGTAATTAAACCAATCAATTCGGTTTAATTCTTAAAACACTAGTCTTATATTCTTGTTATTGACAAACCATACGAATTGAAGAAGCAATTATTGAAATGAATCCAAAATCAACTTATTTTAGCTTTCGCTTTCTTCCTTTCTTTTTTTTATATTATCAAATTCCTCTTTGGAGACTCTAGAAGCATGCCATGCTAAAGGTGATATGAATTCATAGTCTTCTAACCAAAGTGAAGAATATGTAGAAAGTACTTGCATTATGGAAACACTTTACTCATATCTAACACAAACAACTCCCTTCTTTTATTCCGTTGATATTTTTATTGTTCCAAGACATTAAAATACACAAATTTAATATTCACGAAAATTAATTTCTAACAATCTAATCACAATTACCTCAGCAAGAATATTCCACTTTTCAAAAATAGATTAGTGAGAGAAAGAGGAGCAAAAATGGTAAGGTTATACTTGATTTATCTGTGGGCTGTTTGTGTGTATATATATTAATAAATATATACGTATATGATCTATGAAACACCAACACTTTAAAAATTTTGATGTGTCGTGTTCGACACTTTCTGACACTCCGACACTCCCCGACACTCTAACACATGTTATAGAAATTCAAAAAAAGGTTCAAAGATTGCGTTGCGTTGAGTTTTTAGTTTCAACTATTAGATTCGTTGAATTTCGATTACCATTTTATTGAGTTTAATATAAATATTTGGGATATCTTATGATTTTTTGCAAAATTGATGAATATTATAAGTTTAGTTTCTTTTTTTTTAAATTATTGAATATTAAATATAATATACATTACATAAATTAAAAATATTATTTAATATCAAAACGTGTCGTAATGTGTCAAAATCTAACACTTTTTAGAATTAACGTGTTAGAATGTCGTGTCATATCGTGTTACGTGTTCCGTATCAATATCGGTGCCACATAGTATATGATAATAGTGTCACTGTTATCATTGAATGAAGCAGCACCGTCCGTTGACTCCATTGATTATTATGAATGAATGTGGACGGTGTCAGATGCATAGTTGTTGTGTATCTATGGGTGTGTCACGTGTGATTGTGTGAATGGAGAATCTGTGATGTTGTTGTGCAACCTGCACAACACTGTACCATCAAGTACAGCCCACCATCTTTGACTTTCCCCCAACAACACTTTTGTTTGATTCTTTCTAATTAATGTTTGGAAAACAATCCGTTTGCTTAATGAGTTCAAGTGAATTTGTTAGTTTGATTGTAACTTTCATTAATAATTTACTGGGTTATAGATTTTGGTTGTTAATTATTACTATTTATAAAAATAGTAATGCATTAATTATTATATATATGCCAGTATTCTATTTTATTTATTTTTATTCAATTAGACTATTTTGTAACTAAATACATGTAAAAATATATTTTGAGTGTGTGTAAGAAAAATTATATAAAACAACATTGAAATACGTATCATAGATCAACAGATCTACGTTAAATAAATTATTATTTTCTTTAAAAAAATATAAACATCAATCTTACTTGAAGGGAGTTTCTTAAATTTTACTCAATTAGTTAATGATTTTTATTTCAATTTTTTATTTTTTCTAGTATTTCATAGTTTCAGTTAATTACAAACATATTACGATTACAAAGATGTAACACTTTTAATAAATTAATTATACTTTTTTAAATTACTCATGTCACTTTTGATAGGAGGAAATAATTGTTCGATACAAATTTACAATGAGAATATATAATGAAATCAGTTAGACAAGAATGATAATTCTCCATCCATATGAAATCAAAATAATGAGAGTATTATCATTGGAAAACGTATGTAAAATATAGATAATAAACTTTTAATTAATCATCTTTGTCTCTTTAATAAATGAGAAATTGTTTTCTTATATATAGAGGAGAGAGGAGACAGAATATAGAAATGAAAAAATGTATAAATAGATCCCATTTTTTTATATGTGAGTATAGAAAAGTTGATTTTATGTCACGTAACATAAGAAAATAATTCCCCTTAATAAATATACTAGTATTTGTCTACCAATATATATATA